CTTTTTCAACTGCAGGATTATTTTTCCCTCTGTCAGGAGGACTAGAAACCTGAAAGCTGAGATTCTCCAAAAGCTGAATTCTCTTCCTAGTACTACAATCTCCCTTGCTTTGGTTTCTGCAGAACCAGAATGTATGTCTATCCCGGACAAGAAAGCTAGGCTGATTCCAATATTTTTGGTTATATTGAGCTTCCTGGAAACTATTAACAGCTCCATCCTGTGAAGTGGACAGAAGAAAAAGGCATTGTAGTTGTGATGGCTCATTGCACACCTTCCTTGGTCTCAAGTCAAGAGAAATATGGAGCCTCCGGTGTACAGGCTCAGGAGCTGTGAACTTTTCTGCCCCTTGCAAGATGGGCTTTGGAGTCATTTTGGTTTCTGTCTATAGCCCCGCAGTGCCTTTGCCGAATGTGGTTCTGCTGTAGTCTTGCAGGCCTTAGAGAGCTGGTGAGAAGTCCTCTGTCCTTTATGGGATGTGATGCCAGGGATCCACTTGTGTCAACCCGGCTGCTCCATGTACTCCTGGAAGATGGTGTTCCTCCTTACTGCAATGCAACAACCTTTAGGAACGGCCTTTACTGCAATGCTACAATCTGCTAAAGATTCCCATTGTGCTGCAAGCTATTCATTGGAAGGGATGGCGGTGGAGGCGGTGGCGGTGGCGGCGGCGGCGGAAATAACGTACCCGCCATTTCCGAATGAGTCTGTGGGTCAGGGATCGGGATGGGACTCATTGAACCAGAGTCACTCTGGATAGAGCCCACACTACTGCCGTCAAAAGTGGTCATTTTCTTCTTCATTAGTTTCCGTTCCTTGGCTCTGCGATTTTGGAACCAGATTTTTACCTGCAAAGGGAAAGCAACACAGTTTCAGTTCCTTACTTCAGTCTGCTTCCTCGGATGCATTTACATCATCAAATGCAAATCATTTGCAAATGCATCTGAGGAAGTAGACTTAAGTCTATGAAAGCTCATGCTGCCAAATTCATTCCTTCAATGAGTCTCAAAGGGAATACAAGATCTCTCTACATACTGATTCTACAGACTAACACGGCTATATCTTTGAGTTCCTTACTTGTATAAGACTGAACTAGTTGCTTCTTTGGTAATTTCTGAATCAGAATCTGCATTACTTTAATTGTTTGAAACTTATGGCTTCAAGCCCATGAAAAAGCTTCAGGAGAATAGGATTAAAATTGGTGAGATGAGACTAGTTTCTGTATAGACTAATATCAGACTAGATCATCATCGTGGTGAATTGACTGGAACAATTGTACACATCACTCCCTCAAATGCTTTGCAAAGTGCTTTGCATTTGTATGTGTATCTTCAAATTGCCTATTGACTTATGAGGACCCCATGAATTTCCTAGGGTTTTCTTAGTCAAGGAATACCCAGAGATGGTTTTGCCAATTCCTTCCTCTGAAATAGAGCCTGCAGCACCTGGCATCCCATCCAAATAATAACCAAGGATGACCCTGCGTAGCTTCCAAGACCAGATGGGATATGGTGCTTTTGGGATATTTAGTTGCATGTATGTATGTGCCTTCCTATTGCCTATCAACTTACAAATTTCTTAGGTTTTCTTTAGGCAAAGAAGATTCAAGAGGTGGTTTTGCCAATTCCTTCCTCTGAAATAGACCTTGCAGCATCTGGCATCCATTGGCCGTCTCCCATCCAAGTAATAACCAGGGCTGACCCTGCTTAGCTTCCAAGAACAGACAGGATCGGGTACCTTTAGGGTGTTTACACTAACACAAATCTGGTCCTCTAATTTTCCTGTCCCCTTCTGGATAGGAAATCTGACGTACTCTGTATGGTTCATGGCCTACCTGTCTTTCCGAAAGTCTTAGATTTGCAGCCAGTTCAGACTTCCTCCGGATGGTGATGTATCTGCTGTAATGGAATTCCTTCTCCAGTTCTAGTCTCTGGTGGTCTGTGTAGACAACGCGGTATTTCTCTCTTGTCCTTGTTTTGCCTGTTTGGAAAAAACAAAAGCAGTCACATGCACACCTCCATAATCCTACATAGGTATTCTTCACTGGAAAATTCAGTGTCTCTCATTTGTGTGTCTTGATGGGATGTGGAATACTAATAATAATAATAATAATAATAATAATAATAATAATAATAAATTTCTTACCTGCCTCTCCCCATTGGATTGAGTCAGGGAACAACAACAATGAACAGATAAGCAACATCAGTTTCCAACTTGCAAGGACCCTAAGGCAAGCTTATCCTTGAGTTTTCTGGGGCGGAGAGTATGTGATTTACCCAAGGTCACACATTAGGTTTCCATGGCTGAGCAGAGACTTGAACCCTGGTCTCCAGAGTCATAGGCCAGTGCCCAAACCACTACACCACACTGTTGTGTCCCATTAAAAGTAGAAACCATTGAATCAATGACACTTCCAGGACTTCAGCAACCTCTGGGTATGATTCTCACCCTCGACGCAAGCAATTGTTTGCAATCTTTTGCCTGTCTAAATACCCAAAAGGCACCAGATCCTGTCTGATCTTGCAATCTAAGCAGGGTTGGACTTGGTTAGTACTTGGATGAGAGACCGCCAACGAATACCTGGCGCTGCAGGCTATGTTTCAGAGAAAGTAACTGGCCAAACCAACCTCTGAGTCTTCCTTGCCTAAGAAAACCCTATTAAATTCATAGGGCTGCCATACTTGAAGGCACATGTGTATCCACACTTCCACTCATTGCAACCTTTTTGTGGGAAATCAGGTTGTTTGTGAAGCAGCATAAAAGGCTCACCTCCTGTTTGACCTGGATTTAGGATACTGGAGTTAAATCTAGCAGACTCAGCCCGAATTGGGGGGGGGGGGGGGGGGTGTTGGTGGTGGATGGGGTTTGTTGTTGGGGGAACGGAGACAGCAGGGAGAATCTGGCTTTGTTTCCCCCCTCCTCCTTGGCCATAAAATTCACAGAGCATTTTCTTCTGAACACAACAATAAAAGCAAAGAAGGGGCCTCTTTATTTGCTGTGAAAATCATCACCCTTTTCCGGCAATATAAGGGAAAGGTTGGGGGTGGGGGACAGAAAAGGAGCAGGAAGAGACAGGGGATGCATATCAAAGCAGAGGAGGAGTGCGAAAAGAGGCTCCCTTGCCAGAGATGGCTGAGCGGCCTCTTGAACTCAGGACAATGGGACCAAGGGGCAAGGTGGGGTGGGGAGGCCGAGACCTCACACCTTGTTTGCAAAGCAAATCCCTCTCCTCCCAGTTGCATCAGTTCACATCCTTCTTATCACATGGGTTGCTCCATGTCTGTGGAGTCATAGTGTCCCAAAGCTGGAAGGGAACCCCAAAGGGCGTCTATTCCAACCCCTTGCCTTGCAGGAAGACACTCCTGAGAGAGACCCATCCAACCTCTGTTTAAAGATTTCCAAAGAAGGAGAAACCATCATCCTCCAAGGTAATCTATTCCACTGTCGAACAACTCTTACAGTCAAGAAGTTCTTCCTAATGTTGAGATGGAATCTCTTTCCTTTTCCTTTTCCTTTTTTCCCCTTTTTATTTCCCAAGTAGTTTCTTTTTAAACAAAGAAAATACTCAACTAAGCATACCAAAATAGGTTACTTTAAATCAGGGGTAGGCAACCTTTCCCCTTTAAGGGCCGAGGGACTTCAACTCCCAGAAGCCTCAGCCATGTTGGCCAATAGTCCCATGTTGGACAATAGCTCCTGGGATTCTGGGAGCTGAAGTCCCTCGGCCCTTAAAGGGGAAAGGTTGCCTACCCCTGCTTTAAATGATGAAAATCTAAATTCATCCGCATTTATAAAACATGCATCGCTCTAGGTGTGCAGTTTCTACCACTCTTTCCACTGCAACAAAGCTATCTATTGCTCTTTTGCTCCAATGGTAAAAAGTCCCGTTGTCTAAATCTCATGCCAAAACAAGACTGTCTTTTTGACATGCAATCTATAAAAGTCTTCCAAATAAACATATTTACCAAATATACATATTGCCACGAAGCAGCAGGTTGGTTCTTTCCTCCCCTTTAGGACCATGCTTCTCTCCCCAATTGCATTCAGAATGGACAAATCTGAAAATAGGTTTTTTTTTTATTTCCAACTAGGATGGACAGTCTGCATTATAACAAATGTAGTTTGGCTTCTTCTGAAGCTGCTGAATTAACAGCTCCCTTTTAGAGAAGCAAAGGTCCAAAACACACTGCAGAAATAATCCAGTTTGAGACTGCCTTAACTGCCCTGGCTCAATGCTAGAGAATTCAGAGATATGTAGTTTTGGGAGGCATTTAGCCTTCCCTGTCAGAGAGCTCTGGTGCCATAACAAACTACAATTCCCAGGATTCCCTAGCACTGAGCCAGGGCAGTTAAAGTGGTCTCAAACTGGATTATTTCTTCAGTGTTCTGGAGCAGCAGAAAACAAGCTCCCTCCCTCTGTTACATGGCATCCCTTTAGATATTTAAAGACAGCTTTCATGTCACCTCTTAGGGTGCATCTATACTGTAGAAATAATGCCATTTGACACCTCTTTAACTGCTATGGATTCCTGGGATGTGTAGTTTTACAAAGCCTTTAGTCTTCTCTGCCACAGAGTGCTGGTGCTGCACAAAGTAACAGAACCCTAGATTTTGTAGGATGGAGCTATCCAAGGTGCTGAAACTAAATTATTTTTTTTTTGGTTGAGTGGGGATGCCATAGTAGTTTGAGTTTCAGACTATGAGTCTGGAGACCAGGGTTCAATTCCTAGCTTGGCCATGGAAACCCACTGGGTGACCTTAGGCAAGTCACACTGTCTCAGCCTTCAGGGAAGGCAATGGCAACCCTCCTCTGAACAAATTTTGCCAAGAAAACTTGATGACAGGGTCACCATAAATTGGGAATGACCTAAAGGCACACAACAGACCCACACAGAGGGTTCAGCACCTTTTAACTCCAGAAGGGATTCATTGGCCAGCTGGTATGGAATCCACCAAAGGTCACTGGTTCGAATCTGTTCAGAATTGCCCCATTGGGTCACTGTATTTCCAGATAAGAAAGACAATTGAAGTGCCATCTTGGATATCTTTCCCCCCAAACCCACAGCCATCACGGAGTTCATGGTGTGCTTTAACTTCATATAGCCCAATGGAGAGGCCTATGTCTTGGACATTTTATCCCATGAACTCAGTGAGTCTCCTAGAACAGGCTTCCCTAATCTAGGGCTACTCCAATTCCCATCATCTCCCATTGTGATGATGGGGTTTTTAACCCCAAGCTCATCTGACGGAGACCAGGATTGAGAGAAAAGGTCTCAGAATGCATCTCAAGAATCCTTTATAGCAGCCATTCTCAAGCTTTGGGTGTCCAGCTGTTTCGTACTTCAGTTCCCAGAAGCCCCAGCATGACTAATGGGTAGGGATGCTGGGAACTGAAGTCCAGAAAGATCAAAGATTCTGGTCCAAGGTTGAGTCTGGAAGATCACAGGTTGAGAACCATTGCTTTGCTCCATGTTGCAGAGGTGCAAAGGTGTTTTGGCAGAGAGATCCCTGGGGAAAAGAGAATTTTACAGATGAAAACCATCAGGAAATATCCTTTGTATGCTTCTGCCTGTTTGGTTTTTATTGACCGCATGTGGGAGCCTTTGTGGCTGAAGTGTGGAATAGGGAATCCTTTCTATAAACAAACAAGGCTTCAGGGCAAACAGTGGCTAGCATATGGAATTGCAAGAAAAGGAGAAGGAGCCTTGGAGTGCATGTGGATTATGGAAATGGTAAAGATTTGTCTTTTCCTCTTCCTGGTGTTCTTGCCTGTAGAAGTGTTCAGGGTAAAGAAAGAAGAGAAGGAGGAAAGGGTGGCGCTTTGTGGGATGGCAAACTGGGCTCCAAAGTACTGCAAAGTGGTTGGAGAAGGGAGGCAAAGAACATGTCAGAAGAATGATGATGGGTTACTAAGAATGGAATGATAGAATATTAGAGCTGGAAGGGACCTCAAAGGCCATATAGCCCAACTCCCTGGCATGGAGGAAGACGCAGCTAAAGCATTTCTGAGAGGTGGCCATCCAAACTCTGCTTAAAGACCTCCAAAGAAAGACAGTCCACCACTTTCCTCATTGCAGAAATAAATCAGTTTGATACCATTTTAACTTCCATGGCTCATTCCTCTGCCCCCACATTCCCATAATGATAGAAGACATGCTTGCCTACACTATAATGTCAAGTATTTACCTTTTATGTTACACAAATTTGCATCCTTTTGCTCAGAGTCAACAAACTTATGCCTGAATGCAACTGGTTAGGTTCCAAGTGGAGTAGACCTCTTGACTCAATTGTTCAGTGGTGGATCAATCCATAGATAATCCCCAGTCAGTCAATCAATCGATTAACAATGGTGTGTTACTGAATGAGATGAAAATGAAAATAAGGGTCTAATCCTTGTCCTTCAGCTGCTTCAGATCCATCCCAGTCAGATGTCTGGGTTTACTTTTGGAGTTTTAAAAAAGATTTCTTTAGATTGTCTAAAGCCAACTTGAGATGTCTGGGTCTAGTTTTGGTTTTTTAAAATGATCATTTATCACTGATCATTTGGCCAAGCTTGGTATTTAGACTTCTGTTGCCCTCCTGAACCTGATCACAAACTTTGGGCTTTTTCCCCCCAGGAAATGTCTGCCTTTGTTCCATTCCTCCCCCAAAATGGAATTTGGTATGGAAGTTTTTAAAAGGATGGTGGGTGCTATCACTCAGCCTTGGGTTGCATACAAATAATCAAGCGGGATTATTCACCTTAGTCCCTTATATATGATACCAAGCCATTTTGACATCAGAATATGGATTTGAGCAGACACAGAGTGACTGCAAACCCTTCAGGTCCTGCTTAGCTCCTAATGATAAGAAAATGAAAGGGATCAGCTTAGCATTAGCTCCTAATGATGGGATAATAAAAGGGATCAGGTTGAGTTGATGATGCTAGACATAGTACTCCTTTTCTCCTCATTTCATTCATTCACTTGTCAAACACAGGCTTTTAAGACCATCCAGATCTTGTTTCCATGAAGCAAACTGACCTAGTCTCTTATGGCATCTTAAAGATTTGGCTGATTTTGCTGTACACCACAGACTATCCCTCTGGATGAGTGCATTTGATTTCTCATTGATTTGGTATGTGCCTTCAAGTCAAATTTCATAGGCTTTTCTTAGTCCAGGAATACCCAGAGATGGTTTTGCCAGTTCCTGCCTCTGAAATATAGCCTACTACAGCACCTGGTATTATTTGCTGGTCTCCCATCTAAGGATTAACCAAGGCTGACCTTGCTTAGCTTCCAAGATCAGATAGGATCTGGTGCCTTTAGGGTATTTAGATGCCCTCCAACATTTCACAACTGTGAAAACATTGCACAGAAGAAAATTGTCATGG